GGGGGGGGGGGATCCAAAAGCGTTTATCCACACTGTAGAGTGAGAAAGGCCAAATCCACTGCCACGGATAAGGTTTAAAAAGCGTGTCGTAGGTAGACAGAATTTTCTGTAAAACTTCCTGAAAGTAACTTGTGAGTTTTTCTTTCTTTCTTGTTTTCATTAAAGAATGCCATTATACATTTAATGGTATTATTTTTGATTGTTTGCTCTTGTGTAGACACATTTCTGGACATATATGTGCACAAATATTTGTGTCCTTTTATATTTATATGTATATTTACATTTATATTTATATCTACACCTATATCTCTATACTTATCTTAATATTTATCTGTTAATATCTCTGTTTCTACACTTCCTTTTATATGAGTGTTTGACGTTTGTTGTATATATCTTCAACTCAATTTCCTACTGGGATTAAAAGTCTCTCTGATTCTGATTCTAAAAGATACAATTTTCCGGAACTTTTACGCTTTTATTTTGAAACCAAAGTCACAGCGCCTTGGTTTTCGTTTGGTGTTGACTCTCTCTCTTTCTCTCTCTCTCGGGGCCCCAGAGGAAAGCTCTGGAGCCATTGGTTGATTCCCGCCATCATGTGCCAGTCTAGACACTTTGGCGGCTGGGAGCCGCAATGATTGTTGCGCAAACACGGTTTCAAGTTTCTTAACTCTTAAAGACGCAACATCCTGCTCTCCTCTGCTCAGTCCTGAGCAGAGACCAAGCAAGAGAAATAGGGTTAACAAGAGTAAGTATTAGCTAATATTAATACATTATTAGTAACATATAGATGACTGTGTGTTTGTATTTATTTATTCATTTATTGTTTAGGTGTGGTACAACATAATTCTTCAGTTAATGCTGAATGTACTCTTTAATTGTTTTACAGGGGATACTGATACAGCAGGTTCTCCATTAATCACACAGTTCAGTTCCTAGCTCCTCTCCTTCACATGTTGAAGTGTCCTTTAAGAAGACACTGAAGCCCACATTCCTTTTGATGGTCAGGATAAACACCTGGAGTGTAAGCAAGGGACTAGGGCATCCCCCAGTGGCATAGCACTAGTCCAGTGCTGGTCTCTGTGCCTCCTAACTGGTATTTTAACAACTCCTTACAATGTGGTGGGGGGAAGTCCACACCTCATAACAGAAGCATTAACCCTGTCTATTCATGGCTTGTCCAGTTATGTGTGCTAGTCCAAGATCAGTGCCTACTGTCTATATGAGAGGAAGTGAGAGTCAAGTTGCAATGGCAGCAGGAGAGAGTTGACAAAGAAGAGGATGCAGTGTCTGTGAGTGGCTACAGCGAGGTTTACTGGGCATCTGTTCAAAATGTGTCCCCCTGTGTAAGTCAATCACAAGCAAATATGCAAAAAGGGAAGAAGGAAGTGATTTGGAAGAGCTTTGTCCTGAGTTTAATGTTTTACAGGTCACTGGAGTCACAGCAGCCATGGAAAACAACAGCCATAAATTATTATTATTATTATCGAAATTTATCACAGACTCCAACAAACCAACAGAAAAATAGAAAAAAATTCAGACGAGCGTTGCTGCAGCCGCTGAGTTAAACACATGAATAAATGTAAAATGTATTCCTGCAAATGCTCAGAAGGGTTTAATAAAACATCACAGGCAGCAGAAAAACTTTGGGGTCAGGTTTTTGGTATTTTGCATATTAGAAGACAAAAAGCTGTAATGGAAATCCCAAATGAACTCAAACAGTGCTGAACGATCCAAAGTATCAATAGCATCGATATTTGGATATATAATATAAAAAATGTGGATATATAATATATTTCTGATATTGGTTTCAGACTGACACTAGTGTAATAGGAGCAAGATTTTGTTTCTATTGTTTCTATCTTCTAAGTTCACTGTGTAGCTTACTGAATTCATTTAATATATATATTATATATATAATATATATATATATATATATATATATATATATATGATATAATATATATATATACCTCAAACATGCCTGATTTTTAAACCTTGTTGTGTTGATGTATGTGTATATTTTATTTATAGCCTACAGCACATTTAAACAACAGAAGCTGACCCCAAAGTAGTGCTCTTTTTGGAGTTATATTAATTTTGTCATGTTACCACAACAAAGCTCAATTAAAATACCCGACTCAGTAGATGTGGTACTGTTGAACCTGCAAGGAAAAACAAATTAGAAGACAAAAGCTCACTGGAAGATGGCTTTTATAAGATTGATCTATTTTATTCAGTTAATGAAGATTATTAATTACATACAAATCTCTTTTTTCCTTTATTATTATGCATTTGATCTTTTTTATCAAACACTTTTCTTGTTTTATTATTATTGTTATTCTTACTGCTTTGTGCAAACTGATCCTCCAAAAGAATATGTGTCAGTAGCACCGTCATCATTTTTGGCAAAAGTGCACCGGTGTGTGTGTGTTGGCGGTGATTTGCGTTGAGAGCGTGGGAAGAGGAGGGTGGTGGTGTGTTAAGGTTGGTGGGAGAGCAGACAGGGTGTCCGGCACCAAACCACCTCCCAAAATAAACGCCGTCCCTGCGTCTCTGTGTCTGTCCAGCGGCAGACCCGCAGGCTCCCTCAGCTCCAGCGGCAGCAGAGTGGAGTCTGGGGCCAGGCGGCCTGTCACAGGAACAACATGTCATCAGCTTCATCGCTCCCCTAATGGCTCTACTCTAGACCAGAGATATGGCAGACAGTATGTTGCCCCACCAAGGCGGCAGTTTACTCTGCAAACACACACACACACACTGTGGCTGTCCACTCCCAGCCATTTACAGGCTAGCAGCGGAGAGACTAGGAGGCCCCCTTATAATAACAGTCAGGGGTGCTGGAGATAATGTCGAGCCAGACCTCTGGACTCAGGCCAGGCTGCCCTCTTAATCAGATGCCCATAGGAAACTCTGCATATGTAAACACTGCCAAGGGTTAGCAACACGGCCAGCGTTTACAGGGTTTACCTGCCAGGATCAGCAATCCTGACTTCAAGGAATATTTCAGCATTTAAAAGATGATTTGCTTTCGTGCAAAGATTTACATGAATACCACTCTGCTGCACGCGCTGTTGGACATGATTTCACGCCCACGTTATGTGGGAGGAAAAGCAGTGATGGGAATGAGGCCCACTTCATGTCATTTGATGACTCGAGTTGTCTGCCATCGCTCTGCTGGCGCCGCTGTTTCTTACTCAATACCGGAGGCTAAAGTAGTCTTAGCAAATTCACACTTACAAAAATGAAATGACTTGGAGGATAGTTTCAACTTTTAAGGGCCAAGAGAGTCTGCGGCAAAGTGGAGGTGTGACTAACTCTGGATTTCAAGTCTCATGTGCATCACCATTACTGCATCATAGCAGCACTGTCCACTGACAGTGGTTCCCAGTTGCTGTTTGTGATGTTGTCCTATTAAAGCAATTAAGATTATTTTACAGAATCAGTACGTCCAATGATTCCAGAGATTTTAGCCAGCTAAAGCTCCGGTCACAAAGGCGACTCAGCGACGTAAAGGTGGCTTACAATCCGTGTGACCTCCAGGAACCATTAAAAGATTGAAATTCACATTTTCATTTGATTGGGGTATTTCCTTATTGACCTGTGGTTGCCAGGGTTCACCAACCAGTCTCTAGGCCTGTGTGACTGGGGTTTAATGTTGGGATTATACTTCCTGACATGTGATAACTGGCACCACCATGGATATGCAGTCAGCGCTGTTGTGTTTTTATTCCAGTCTGCTTGGAATACTGTTGTGATTTACAGTTGATTCGATGGGAAGACATAGACATCCATAAAAGCCTTGCATTTCACCGTGTTAAATCTATGAAATTGATTGTGGTGCTATTGGGAACACAATTCCTTCTTTTGATCTTCTGCCTTCAAACATCTTGATTTTTGGCACCAGCAGTAAACCTATGCAGACTCAGAGTGGGGCCCTCTCAGTGGAGGATTAAGGTTTACTGTCCTGAGAACTGGCTGCCCTTATTTCCTAGACATTGTTGTCAAAAGTAGGATTACATCAAAAGTAAAAGTAGGAACCTGCACACTTTAGGCAGATTTCATTGAAATGCATACCTGTTATTTAGTTTTGCATTTTGTAATTAGGTTTTGTTTTGTTTGTTTCGTTTTGACCTTTTGTTTTTACTTCAGTTTAGTTTCAGGTATTTTCCAGAGTGGGCGTGCGTGTTGACTCACAGTCTACAGTCGCCCTGTAGAGTCTCAATAAAAATACCCATCAAAGCTTCATCGAGGAAGCTGTAATAGCATTTAAAAAACTAACTAACTAACAAATACTGAAATTGAGATTTACTTTGTTATTATCTTTTTGAATTTTATGTAGTTTTCCAAGTTCATCAAATCAGCAAGTTTAACTTCTTTTTTTCAAAAGTCAAAAAACTAAAACATTTAAAAAAAATTTTTTTTAAGTTTTACTTTTTATTTTCGTTTTAACTATAACAACCTTGGTGTTCGCCGTGTTGCAGGAAGACGTCACTTAACTGCTAGTACTTACTAGACTTATCTACACTGTACGTCCTAATAACAGCTTGCACAAAAACCTACTGATTTGACCTGTTGACTAACTTGAACAGAGGATTTTACACAAGACATCAACGGTTGTTTGCTTTTGGTTGTACATCTGCACTTTTAGTGCTCCAAGTGTTAGCACCAAAGATTTGCTAAACCTTTAACGTTTCCCGTCATAATTGTGACGAGAACCTTGCGTGAATGTTTGGAATCATCACCACCTGATGTCGACGTACATTTTTTATCTCAATTTTTGTGAGGATGATATGACAAGTTCGGATTGGGAAAATTTGGGATTTCATGTCTCTTTTTCGCAACACGCTCAGTGTGTAATAATTGCATA